GGGCCTCAGCTCGGGGCGGAGGCCGCAGGCAGGGGCTACCCCGGCCGCACGGAGCTGCGCAGGCCGCTCCGACCCGTGCCCAGCCCGCCCTTCGCCAACTTCGGTAAGATGCCCAGGCCCGCGCGGCCTTGCTCCCCACGCTGGCGTCCCAGGCCGCTAGGTCCCGCGGGGTGGGCCCTGGGGGTGGGGGTGGGGGCGGGGAAAACGCTACCCAGACCTAGGCTCGCTTTCCGAAACCTTTCTCTGAATACGGATTTGGGTTGAGTGCCTTTTTGCAAAAATGTAAAGAGAGCGACAGAAAGGAGTGGGTGGTCCAGAGGGCTTTTAACATTTAGCTACAGTTTTTGCCTTTCCATCTTGCAAGAAAAACATGGCCTCTAGTCCGCTTAGCCGTGGCTCCTCCTCCGCGGGGGACGCTGGCCCTACTGCGCTTGTGCACCTCTTCCCGCCTTTTTGTTGAGCTGGAGGCGCCTCCCCCAGGACGGTCCTGCGGTGGTGCTTTCTCAACTATGACTGCGCCTGCGCACCGTTCTCTCCCTGTCTTCGTTCTGGAGGCCCCTCCCCTCACCCGTGCCCTGGCCCAATGAGCTTGCGCATCCCTTCCCGCCTTTTCCCTCGGCATGGGTGGGAATGAGGCCCCTTCTCTGCCCCCTGCTGGAGGACAGCAGTTGGTCCATTGAGGTGTTGTGTCTTTTCTGTCCTCTCCCACCACGTGCATAAATTACGTTGTTCCTTATGTCTTGCTGCTTTCACTATTAAAGTACAATTTCAAATCACATGTAGATTTGAGTTTTAAGCAACGGCTCTTTTTGAGTATAAGACGTGTTTTCTTGGTTTTCCCTATGTCAGTGTGGTAGAAAGAGCACAAGTCTGAGTCAGGAGGCTGGGGCCTGCTCACTCTGTCACCTTAGGCAAGCACCTTACTTCTGTGTCAGTCTCTCCCTCTGGATGCCCTCTGAAGGCCATTTCTGCTTTCTGGGACATTCTAGGAAAATCTAGGCCCCCAGGGAACTAGGTGGGGAAGACAGACCTGAAACAGCAATCCTAGGAGAAGGGTACCTTTCCATGACACAGTGCCTTTCTTTGTTCCATCTCTCAACAAACAAGGACTGAGCACTTAATTATGTGCCAAACACCAGTGAGGAACAGGTGAGGGGGAAAAGTCACATTCCCTGCCCTCAGGGATCTTGTCCTTGTGGGAGAGACAGCACTGATCAAAGAATCACACAAATCAGTGGATAGAGCTCTTATAACTGATGGTTTAGCTGTGGTCTGAAGGAAGACTAGGCACTGAGTCCTGAAGGCTTAAGTAGGCAAAGTGGGGTTAGGGGAGGAAGCCTTCCAAGCCAAGGGAACAGCATCTGCAAAGGGCTTGATGTGGGTGAGAAAGAAGCTACTAGGTTACAGTAAGCGAGGAGGCTGGAGTGGAGGCAGGAACCAGCACTTGGGGCTTCACGGCTGTGCCGAGGACTTTTCTAAGAGCAGTGGGACGTGGTTGAAGGGTTTAAAAAACAGGGAGTGTTAAAAGCCTAGTGGCTGTGGGAGTTCTTTGTAAATGGAAGTGAGAGTTTATTATACTTCCACCATTGGACAGTGATGTGATGCTCCTTTTCCTAGCTCTTTGTGTTCTCAACACTTCCTCACTGCTTACCTTCTCAGGGCGCTCTCTGAGCATCAACTCGGATTGTGTGGTGGGATCTGAGTACCTGGCGAGAGAGCCTGCCAAGCTGTACCCCAGCTGCTCCAGCGTGCACTCGTACCGCCCGTTCCCACTGGGCTTCCAGGACGCCACCCCAGCCCCAGGGATCCCCCTGCAGCAGGGCTTCCGGCATGTGTCCTGCAGCCACTACCATGGAGGGGGCTTGGTGAGTCCCTTCCCTGACTCCTTTCCAGGTTCCTCCTTATCCCACTGCCCTTGCTGCTTTTATGGATCTTTAATCCCAGGAAGCCACTTGTGTGCCCACTTGGTGCCAAGCCTTGAGCACTGGAAGGAGGGATACAACATTGACCTTGTGCGGTGTGCGCCTCTGGGAGTCTACACATGTACACGAGTCCATTCACATGTAGACAAGTCGGCCCGGGCTGTGGCGTGTGCTCTTCAGAGCTGTGGGCCAAAAGGCTCTGGGAGCCCAGGCAAGAAGGGCTATAGACACATCTCAGATGAGCCTGGGGAACAGCCACAGTCACACTGACTGAGTGACCACTAGCCTCGACTGAGAATGCTGATGCTAGAAGGGCCCTTCATTTTGCTGGGTACCAGAAAGGAAATCTCTCCTTCCTGGAGCCACACAGTTGAGGGCAGAGCCGGGAACAGACGTAGGTCCCCTGCCCAAAGGTATGGCCTACTTGAGATTGCAGGGGGCTTTCAGGGGGAAGAGGCATGTAAGCTTAGTTATGAAAAATATGGAAACCTTCCCCCAGACACCTGTCACCTTAGGAGATATTTGTTGAAAGCACGAATTAGATTTACCCTTCTATAAGATCGATGGTCAGTTACTAACTGGTGTGCTCTTTAAGCCTGGAGTTTTGAATACTGAGTCTGTACGAGTCAGGCCATCCCTGTTATGTGAGGTATGAGTTGGGGTGACCAGGTTTTGTGACTTTGGTTACCAGCTCCTTCCAGACCAAGATGGTTAAAAGCCCTTTCCCCTGAGAGGCAACTCCTGAGGGCGGGATAGTGAGAGGGCTGGGGGGCCAGTCCTGACTTGAGCCCCATAAGGCTGGACCTGTGGAGGAGGCTGGCTCCGATGCAGCTCAAGTTCATGGAAATGTAGACCACCATTACCTTTACTCCCTCCCGCAGAATTAAAGGCCTAACTTGGGTGTTACAGAGATGTTCCCTTGGGTGGAGGGTGGAGAAGAGTGAGGAGAGAGCAGGCTTCTTTGGTTTAATGTGGAAAGTGACTGAGAACAAGAGGAAAGCTTGACATTTACGTAACGAGAGGCATCAGCCAGAGTGTGGGGCCAGTGCACTGGGGTTCCCGCTGTGTCCAGGCAGGTCAGGCACACAGGGTGCTGGAGCCCCACTCCGGCTTCAGCCTCGACACCATCTCTTCTGTCTGTTTTAGATATTGTAAAGTTTTATTTATAAATCATTTTCCATTGATTCAAGGGAAAAAAGTTTGAAACCCACTGGTCTTGATAATTTCCAGGGAGCCTACTGACCCTGATGTGAGCCTTCAAGGTATGCATTATTACCCTATAGTAGACCAGAGGAAGGAGGCTCAGAGAAGTTACGTATTTGCCCAAGGTCACAGAACTGGTGAGTGAGGGACTGGGATTCAATGACACAGCTGGTCAGTGACAGCCAAGACGTGTACCTCGGTCGCTCTGACTCTGAAGCCCAGGCGCTTCCTGCTGCCCTAAGCCTGTCTCTCAGACAGAGGTGGAGCAAACACGGCGCTTGACTCTCACCAGCACCCCTGCCCCTCCTGAGCTCTGGGGGTCCCGGCCACCCCACTGCAGCCCAGGGAGCATGGCGTCTCCAGCATCCGCACAAAGAGAGCGGCCCTGGCCAAGTGGAGCACGTACGCACCGTCTGCTCACACAGAAGCCCGGAGCCTCGCGTCCAGGGCAGGCCTCTGATTGACAGGCCTGCCAGACGGCCTTTGTTAAGAGTGTGATCTCAGTTGGATCATCTGGGCCTGAGCTGCCACACAGGCCCCAGGCAAGAGCTGTGATCCAGGGAGAGACTTGGCTGAGCAGCCTGGAATTAAAGCGCTAATAGTCCCACGGCCCACCCCCTTCATGTCTGGAGAGAGGATCAGGCCTTTATTTGTGAAGCTGTTTCAAACCCAAGAGCCTATGACTTGCTTTCATGCTGGTCCTGCTGCCCCTGCCCAGGCTCCGAGATACTCCCCGGAGACGTCTTCCTCCTCCTCTTCCTGTCCCTGCCCCACTTGCTGCTGCTTTGCTTCCTCTGTTTTCTCCCCACAGAAGAGCACAGGCCTGGAGCTGGACAGACCCAGGGGCAAGCCTACCTCTATGTTTACTAGCTATACGGCCTGGGGCAGTCACCTGACCTCTGAGGCCTCACTCAGGTCCTGAGTCTGTACGGTCGGGGTGAGGGTGCCTACCTCACAGGGCCGTTGATAGAGTACATAAGGTGTAGTGCGTGCGACGTGCCTGGCCGGGTCTGGCACATAGTAGGTCCTCAAGATGGGCTTCTTCCCTTCCCTGTGGTCACATGAAGTTAGGAAATGTGGGCCTTATCTAAGGAGATTTTTGCAGACTGCCTCAAGGCTTTCACATGCTCTCATGTGACTCACCAATGTGGGGGCAGTATGTGAGGTTTCTCAAACTCCTTTGACAAAGAACACTTGTAAGAGCACTTATCTTGTAGGACACTAAGGTTCTCCGGAACTCAGCTTGTGAAGTGCTGCTCTGAAGGAGCTGGATGGAGAAGTAAATAAAAGGAACCACATCTGAAATTCATGATTATTTTTTTATCATATTCCTGTCTTTCTCAGTTAAGCTCTGAGCTGTGTAGACATCACCCTCCAGATCCCCTCATTCCGGCCTTGGGGTCCTGTGGCATGGGGTTAGCTTCCTTCCACAGAAGGGTTGATCACGCGAAGCCACCTTCCTGAGGTCACCTACCTTCTCTTGTCTCAGTAGCAGCTGCACTACACCCAGGTCTTCTCCTGGGGTGTTAGAATAGGGCCCCCAAAGGCCCCCGACCCTGAGCCTGAGTCATTACATGTGCCTGAAAATGGGACCACAAGTGGCCGGGATGCACTGGGACCCTTCCCCAGTGCAGGGCAGTGGCGCCAGACAGACGATCCAGTTCTGCCTCTGCCGCTTTCCAGCTCTGTGGCCCTGGACCTGCAGCTTCATCTCACTGACGCTGTTTTTAATCATCAGTGAGGATGGTACTAGACCCTCCCTCGTAGTGTCCTGAGGATGGAATGAGCTCATGGAACTAAGCATATACAGAAGGGCTCAGTCACTGTGACTCTGGCTGTCCCCTAGGCTTATCTGAGCTGGGCCTGCATTCCTTCTTCCCTTCAATCATTTGGCGGTTGTTCGCGGAACACCCTGTTCCCAGTGCCCTGTGCCCAGGTGTCTGGGCCACAAAGGTGAATCTACCCCATGGGGAGCCCCCCGTTCAGGAGAATGAGACGTGATTGACCAGCCCATCGGCTGACCCTCTCTGGCTTCTCTGCTGTGTGTACCTTGCAGGTGTCGGAGCCAGTGGGAGACTTCCAGCCAAGCTACTACCCGCCACCTCCGCTGCCCCCCCTGCCCCCACTGCCGCAGCCCCAGGTCCTCCCACCGGGCTTCCTCTCTGCCCTCCACTTCCTCCCCCCACTGCCACCGCCGCCGCCACTGCCATCTTTCTCACTGACTGTCCTGTCTGATATGAACAGGGAGACCACTGGTAAGTGAGCACCAGTCTTCCAGCTTCCGGGGGAGCCAGGAAGACTTTCTGGAGGAAGAGGGGCCTACTCTGACGTGGATGTGGAGAGGAGGGAAATGGAGAACAGAATTAAACGGTGCTGGGCCCTGGGAAAAGCTCTTTCCTTACACCCCTCCCCTAAATTCCATACGCAAGCACCTAAGGGAGGGGGGTCCCCATTCTCAGAGGAGGAAGCCTGTAGAACTCTGAGAGGTTCTCGTAGATGTAAATGGCAGAGCTCGAATTTCAACAGGATTCTCTGTCTGGTTCCAGGTCCAGTACTAATTCCCTCACCTTATCAGTGCCCACGGGCAAAAATGTGGAGGGTGGCATGCGTGTGGTGGGTTCAGAACAGAGGTGCCAGGCCTCCCTGGCTGGAGTGGGGCCTCTCTGGCTAGGGAAGCAGCAGATGCTGAGCCTGGAGCAGGAGCTGGAGCTGGGTTGGGGCTGGTAGGGAATCCTCTGCCCCAGGCTACTCTGGAGAGAGAACCAGACCAGGAGCTAGAGACCCTGTCCTTCGCAGCTCACACCCTCCTCCAGGCCTCAGTCTTCTCGTCTATAAAGTGGGCCCTGTCACGGGGTCACTGTGATGGTCAGGTGAAATTTTGGATGTGAAAATGCTTTGGGTTTTCTTTTGAGGGCCCTTGCAGCTTTAAAAATTCTAGGATTTTTTTTCCTTTCAATCCTTCCCTGAGGTTCCTCAGGAAAAGAAATGATTTAAAAAGGATTGGCAGACTCAGCAGAGTCTTTAAAATGACAGTAAAAGCTAGGTTAGTCTGGTGATCTCATCCCCATTTTACTGATGAGGAAACTGAGGCCTGTTGCTCACTTGCTGTGTGTGAGCCGCCTAGATCTGTCAGCCGGGGAGATGGTCGAGTGTGGCTGGAAGCACGCCGGCCCTGGTGCCGGACGGCCTGGCTGTGAGGCCTGGCTCCAGCACTTACCAACTGCGTGACCTTGGGCAAGCTGATTCTCTCCTTGGTGCCTGAGTTGCAGTATCTGCGGAAGGGGACTAATGCTGGTCCCTGCCTTACGAGGCTGTCCTGGGGGTTAGACAGGACCTGAAATGCCGAAAGCATTAGTGCAGGTCAGCTCCCACTGTCTCGTCTAACCCTGTGCTGACCTGCTGTTGCAAGGTAGGTATCATCTCATTTGACAGAAGGAGAAGCAGAGGTTCGGGGCTGCGGGGTCGCTTGCTTCGTGCCACCCAGCTATGACAAGCAGAGCTGGGGTTTGAACTTGAGTCTGTATCATGTGGTTAGGGCTAGAATTCCAGCCTCCTGACACCTAGCAAATTAAAGGCAAATTAATTCTCTTTAGGGACTGGGAAGGATGAGAATGCCTTACAGAAAATTTACATCTGAAAATCGGTAATTTTCCTTCTTTCTAAACCTAGGCCCTCTTTGTCCTTCACAGATGACCCAGATGCGGAGGTGCCGGGCGAGCCCAGCCAGCCATCGTCTCAGGAGCAGTCCGACTAGGCCCTCGGCCGGCAGAGTGGGGCTTTGGGGAGTGGCAGTGATGGTTTTCTTGTCTGTGTTCTGTGACGTGTAGGGAGGAAGCGTAGTGATAGGCATAAGATGGCAGCTAATTCCCATTTCAAGATAGGAGGAAGGAGGGTGATCGCTAGGGTTCTCTCAGTCCTGAGCTGTGGGAGTGAAGGGGAGCATGGAGGACGAGGCGGCCAGGGGAGGGCCAGGGCTCTGAGGAGTGGGGGCTGGTGGAAGCCCACATTTAGGAATGAATTTAACCGTCTCTGGGTTGTGCTGCTGTTTATCAGGCTCACCCCAGAGTTGGTCTTTGATTTCCTCAGGCCCCGCTCCGGGGCAGGAGGCGCCATCTACTGCAGCCTTCTGCCTCTGCCTCTGCCTGGTCCCCAGCTGGGGCAGCACCAGCATCAAGCTTCCAACACATCAGGTGGCTGGAGCGCGAAGCCAGGACCAGGGCCGCTGACAGCAGGTTCTGCGGTGTGCTTCCTTACCCACTCTGTCTCCCGCCGTCTGCCTGGTCACTGCCCCTCGCCCCTTCTCCAGGGGCTTTACTAGTAAGCATCGTGACCACCGGGCTGCCTCACCTCCCCTCCGTAAAGTTTAAGCCGTTATAGGCATCATTTCTGGTTTGAAAAAAATCTATTAAAGTTTGACTATTTGCTGTTTTTATAGAGATTGCCTACTTAAAAAAGTAGGCTGTTCATAAGCACTGATGCAGTTCTCAGAGAATAGAATGGTGCTTCCACATCGCCTGTGACGTCAGCAGTTCCTTCTCTGGGGACAGTTGACTGTTGAAATAAAATGATCAGCGGAAACCCTTGTGGCAAGTTTATTCTCTCTTTAAATCTCTGTGAAAGGCGACGCTGGGAGGGGAGTCAGAGGCCTGGGTCTGTGCCCTGTCGGCCAGCCTCTACTATGCACTTGCCTAGGCAGGTCTCTCCCCAGTCTACCTCCCTTCCCTGTACCTGTTATCAGTGAGAGGCTTGGGCCAGGCTAGCAGATTTTTTCCTTCCATTATTGTTATTATTTTAAGCAGTGGAGACCCTTTAAGGACATCTGATGCAGACAAGTAAAATGTAAAGATTTCTTTTAGTCTCCATTCCCCAGCTCCTTTCTTGGTCCCTGCAGAGGGACATGGTTTTAAAAAACAAAACTTGGTCCCATTCTGCTATTTTAGGGTCTTGGGGCTCTTCCCTTGGTTTCATTTGCTCCTTCATTTAAAAAACATCCTACGTCTCTGCTGGATTCAGAGCTTGGCAGTCACCAGCTCTGTCATGAGGAGCATGGAATCTAGTGGGGGAAACAAGACAAAGAGCCAGCCCAGTGGGATTGGGACTGGGAGGGAGAGGGGCTGTGGGGATGGTCGGAGAAAGCCTCTGGAGAAGTCAGGGCCTCAAGTGCATCTTAAAGGGCAAGAGTGAGTTAGGTGAAGATAGGCATCTCCAGTGGGGGCAGAAAGAGGGCAGGGACCTGGGGTGAAGGATTCCAGGGTGAGGGGCAGCGTCCTGTTCTCTGTCCAGGGAAGGACTGCACCCAGGAGAACAGGCCGACCTGCTTGCTGTCTTGCCTGTGGACAGGGTGTCCAAGTGTCCTCCTAGGAGAGGTGGCAGGAGGCTCAGTGAGAAGTGATACTGTATTCTTTCAACTCGGGGTGGTGGCTGGGGGTCCAGGGCCTGGGCTGCTCTGTTGGAAAGTATTGGAGCAGGCACGGTCATGGGGATTTTTCCATTACTGCCTTACAGACACACAGTGCTTTCGGCAGGGCAAAACCAGGCATGAGGCCTGCGGGTCTGCCTTGGCTGCAGTCTGGACCTGGTGATGCAGTGGTTTTGCACTACAGCCTGGCTTAGAGGCTGGAGCTATCAGCCACTCCAATGCTGGTCCTGCCCCCCACCCCCACCCCGGGGGCCAAAGCTCTGCAGGAGCCCTGGGAGGGCAGGAGAAGGCCTGCTTCTGGTTCCACTTAGCCTCACTCACCCTGCCCTCACTGGGCCCTTGACCTTCTGTCAGGATGGCCAGGTGGGGCTGGATCAGCCCCTACTTTTTCATCACATTGTTTTATCCTAGACTCCACGTTTTGAAAGATTTTTCAGCCAAGCTGTGTTAATCAATAAAGCTGTTTTCCTGTTTCTGATCAATACACACAGAGAGGTATGAGACAGTCTGTGACCACACGGACTCCACCATTCCAGACCAGTGCAAGGAAACAGGATGTTTAGTTAGCCTGTGGGGTTTGAGATGGGAAGCTCTGGCCTGCTGAGAGGAGCAATGTCCCGTTGTCCTGTTGGAGGAGTCCACGTCGACAGGATTACAGGAAGGGGAGGATTGCTCAATTCTAGAGGCATGTGATCTGACAAATCTCCAGAGAGTGGTCAGCATCTTTCCTGGAGGTACCTGCTGGGTTGGAAAGCCCACCTGTGGGGCAGGGTGGGCGGCCTGCCTTCCTCCCTTCCCCCTGGTATGAACCCCAAGTTCTGTCCTTTCCTGTGGGCTCTCACCATGGTTCCTTACCCTGGTGGGGTCAGTGGACCCCTGCTCCTGGTAGCCTTTCCAGTCAACCCAATCCATGCTCCCTGAATGCCCTGCTCCTCCAGGCTGTTCAGCAGCAGCAGCAGCACGAGCATTGAAACACCACATCGAAACACCAGATTGCTCATGTTGCTGCCCTGCGCACATGCCTTCCATGGCTCCCTGCTGCTCTGAGAATTAAGGACCAACATCTTCAACCCAACCTGCCTGCCCTCCTTTCTAGCCTCTCCCTCACTGGCTGGCCCAGCCCAGGCCCTAAAAGGATGGGGTCAGGCAGGTCCAGGCAGAAAACGATGGGAAGCAGAGAGACTATCGGCCAGGGACAGGCACCGCTCATCCCAAACGGCCGAGGCTTGGCTATACGAGCCAGAATGTTCTGGAAAGCAGCGGGCCGGCATTTCCCGACGCCGGATGCACTTGTAGCGCGCCGCCAGGAGAGGGCGCGCGGGTGGCCGCTGTGGGCGGGGCCTGCGGGGGAGACCACCGCGAGGGCGGGGCCTGTTGCCTAGCGACCAGCCTCCAGCGAGAAGCGTGCGGGTCCATCGCCGCGTCTCCGCAAGCCTGGCTGGAGAAAGGTTTCTGCAGCTCCGGGCTTGAAGCGACCCCGGAGACCTGGGATCTGCTTGGAAAATCAAAATGATGAGCCGCTACGCTGGGCTGTGTGATCGCCAACCCTGCAGCATGAGTCTTTGCGCTGCCCTGCCTGTGAAACAGATGCCCTCCTATCTTTGTCTTCAGACACCAGCCCCAAACCCGACCCCCGTGTCCTGTGGCGTGTTCCGCGCTTTCTCTGCCCTCTGCACTTGGGCACACGCTGAGTCTTCTGCCCGGACTCCTTCCAGCTTCACCTACTGGTCTCCTACTCATGCTTTCAGACTTCGTTCAGGCGCCCGCTCTTCCCGGTGCCCTCAGCCTGGATTCGGAGGCTCTGTAGGGCCTGCCCAGGCCCTCTGCCGCCCTCTATCACACTGATCCCACTGAGGAGACGTCCCTCCTACAAGTCTGTGAGCTTCCTGGAGGCAGTGACAAGTCTCATTTGTCTCTGTGTCCCCAGGTCCCAGTGCGGGGCTGAGCATTGGTTAGGCCAGTAGTTATCGAGTGCCTGTCGCAGAATGGATGGCTGAATTTCAGGGCCATCCCGTGGATTTTTGAGTGGAGGGTTGAGTGGCCCTGCCTCTGGTGACTCACTGCAGCATCTTGTGACTCATGTTTGTGCTCTGTCTGCTGGGACCCCACACAGGGGCAGAGGAACAGGGAGTCAGCCTTTACTGAGACTGCTGTGTACCACTTCCCTCCACCACACTGCACCTCCCTCGCTTAATCCTCATGGCAACCCGTGGAAGACGTGGGCTGTCATCTTTGTTTTATGAAGGAAAGTGAGGCGTAGAGAGCGATAGTGATTTGCCCAAAGTCACACAGTTTATCAGTGGCTGAGGGCATGCAGAGGGAAACACATTCCTGGCACCAGCTATAGAGTTTTTAATATCCATTTTGCCCTGAGTTACCATCTTCAGATTTTCTTCTGAACACGGATCCCGTGAATGCACCCTAGCTTCTGGGCAGATTCTAGCATAGCATAGGGAGAACAGCCTAAGGACATTTGCTTCCTGAAACCACTGCCCTCCCCACTGACCACAGCACGCAAAGCCTCCTGAGAGAATGCTATGGTAGGCATCATGGTGACCAGTGTGGGAAGGGCCACAGGGTCTCAGGTATAACCCCCGCTGGGTCAGAAGGTGGTCAGCATCTCCTGCTGTTCTCATGGCCAGAGTGGAGCAAGGAGGTGTGTCTTCTAAGGCTACACCTCTAGGTTTTGTTCTCCCAAACCCTACTGGAGAGAAGCCCTCCCACTGTGATGCCCCAGATTTTCTGGAGAGTGGGGTGGGGGTGCTCTGCACCCTCTTGGAGACAAAATACCCCCTCTGGGCCTAGGGCAGGGGATGAGGTCCTTCCCCTGCAGCCCTGGGGATTCTCACAGTCCCTTCCACTCCTGGGTGCTGTGTCTTGTTGGGCCTGGGCCTAGGCCCCTCTTACTGGGGAGCTGCTCAGAGACCCCAGAATGAGCCATGGCCTCTTCTCCTTGGCCAAAGCTCAGGGTCTTTGGGCCCCGCTCTTCCTCCTTGGCTCTGCCTAGCTGTGTGCTCTTGGGCACGTCACATAACCTCTCTGAGCCTTCCTTCGCCCCCTGGTAATGTTGGTCCAGGGGTGTGCTGAGGATGCAGGAGCTCTCATGTGACGTAACACCTCTGATGCCACCTCTTGGTGCCCGGTATATGGTACCTGTGTCATTGTCAGATGACTGAAGGCAGTCTCCTCTTTGAGAGGAGGCTAAGAATCGCAAAGCCTGAAAGCTGTGGCTCTTTACTTCCCAGTGCTCCCCACGTGCCCAGCACCGTGCTGAGCGCTTTCCACAGATTCTCCCTGTGAATCCTCGTAGCAACCCGTCCAGGCAGGCACCAGAG